TGTTCAGATCAACAACCAGAACCATAATATAAGATCTTATTGACCTCACAATCAGTAAGAGAAATGAACAGCAACAAACTTCTGTAAGGTGGAAGCTTCAGAAGATTCATACAAGTAGCTGATGTGGGTAATCGGTCTAAAGCTTCATCTGAGGCAATGCCAGCAGCCCTGGAGTCCAGAAAATGCTCTAAGTAATACTATATTACATAAAGATGTCTTTGTTTCTTCTTTTTCAAAAGTACTGCTGCTGATAGCAACACGATAGAAGCTGATGCTGTTGATTTTAAACTCTGTACATCTATTACCTCTGTATACAAAATAATGGTTCAAGATATCTGAATCCAAGCAGCGGTCCTCGAGAGCACCCAGTCACAAACCTTTAAAAAAACCACCAATAACTATTATCTTTGCTGATAGTTGTTAATCTTTGAAGCCAAGAGAACTCCAAGGTTGAAACAGGCAAGTAATCCAACAACAAGAGTACAACTTACTTCAAAAACTTCTTCTGATTTTCCAGTGAAAAACTTTTGAGGACTTCCCAAAATATTTCAATGACATAGTGCTCCTGTCAAAATGAATAATGAAAAAATTAACTTGTCACTCCAAATGGACACCTGCGTTATACACAAAAGCTGCATCTCCATATTCCACTAAAGCCTCCTTTCTTTATGGAATGGTATCATAGTTAGCAGTTATTTACAAGCTCATGCAGTATATTTGTATTTCCCGCAGAATAAAAATCAGCAATCCAGCACTTATCTTTCATTCAGAAAGCCCATTGGACCAATGTAACCATCAGATTTGAAAATTGATAAAAATGATAATAAAGGAGCTTACAGCATGATAGCCACCCGAGTAATTGGTGTGGCTTCGTAAGTCATCAACATCCAAACTTTCAAGGGAACCTGATATCAGCAGCTGGGAATGAAACAAAAAATCCAAAATGATTAGGCAACAAAGCTCAAGGTAAAATAGGTTTTCCAGGAAACAATTAATTTCTTGACAAATTCTGATGTTTCAAACAGAACGTAAGAAGTAAACATAAAATCATTCAAGATAAACACATAGTCCCTTCATTTACAAAGTAAAAACTAGAAAAAAAAAAACATGCACAACAAATGAGTTGATAACCAGGCACTTTTTATATTTGAAATATAAACAAGAGTAAGGAAGAGAGAGGAGAGAGAGAGAAAGAGTGGTTGTTATTTAGGTGATGTAGTTCCATCAGGATAATCCTAAATTAGGTTTCCCGTGCCACTCCTTAAATAAAAACCAGCACCGACAAATGTTAACATTATCAAGTGGGGTCAAACATGTCAGAGCTAATTTGCACTCCTTTTCACAAATAAGATCAATTGTCTTGGAGTCAAAGTGACAAATTATAGATAAGTCAAGGTACCTGTAGCTCATGCTCGTTAAACATATCAATCCAATCTTTCTGCATAAGTTGCTGAAAACCCCTTAAGAAATAAGAACTTTGTTGACGTATCTGAAAGAAATGTCATTCCACCATAATATCATGATTGTGCAAAGGAAGATGTGGTTTTAGAAGAATGGCTTGAATAAACAAAACAAACTAAAGATGAACAGTTGCAATACCTGAAAGTTTAAGCGGTGATTGGACACAAGATGAATAAATGTAATTACGTTCTCATTAGTAACACGTATATCTTTCCCTCCTGGAAGCAGCTCTTCTTCTGTCTGCTCTCCATATTCATTGTTAACAATCACGAAGTAGAGCTCCAACTCTGAAATATTCCCTTTGTAATGCTGTTGAGCAAAGTAAATACCCATGTCAAACAACATCTAGCACAAAAAAAAGCATCCCATCTATGTACATTCTTTGTTCTTTTGTGTGTAATTATATGTCAATCAAAGCCCCCACCTCAGCTCTGCTTCCAATCTTAGTTTCGGTCACCAATGTTACACTAAACAAAATGAATAATTATTATGGAAAAAAATAGTCTCTTGACTCACTTCAAAACACGAAATTCTATAGAGTAATTGTTATATTATTTAGGAATCTGTTCACATTATACTTTTTTTGCAGTTTTCAACACCAACACCAGGAAGAATCGGTGTCCAAAAGTGAGGAAAAAGAAATCAGTATCTTAAATTCTTGTCATGGTACATTGGCTTGCTTTCCAAGAAATGGTAGCAAAGTAAAAAAAGTGAGACTTGCAGCAGAATTTCAATATATAAACATTCTTCTCCTCTGTCTAATCATCTAGCAAATATGAATAATAATATTATTAACAAGACAGAAGCGCAGAAAAAAAAAAGGCATCACCTTTAAGAAAATAAGGTGGCGATATAATTCAGGGTCCAAGGATGGCAAGTCATTCAAGTAGTTGTACCTAACCAACAAGGGGAGACAAAATGAAGTCAATATATTAGTAGTACATTAAGTACGCGGAACATAACTCCTTAGGCTATGTTCTCTTCTAAAATGTTTTTTCCTTTCTATTCCTATTTTGTAAAGACCTTTTCATTTCCCAGTTTCTTGTTTTTTTAAATATAAAGTATAAGTATTAATAACAGCACCAAGAGAGCATCAAACCCATATACATGGAAACATTTACATATCTATCAATGTATCAATAAGGTCCCCCAACTCCTCATTGAGTGAGGAGAATGATCAATTGACAAAAAACAAAGAGTTTGGAACCATCTATTCTTAAGTAACTCAAAATCATTCACATCATCAACCACATCAAAAACTTTTTGTTCCTTTCCTTTCAAACAACCTAAAAGATTATAAGCGGAATTGAGTCTGCTCACTTCCTCCTTCTTCCAGTGCCCTTCCACACTCAAATTTCATCTTGCACTGATCCTGCCCTCACCCAGCTTATGCCTAGAAGCCTATAAAACATGGTCCAAATTTCATTTCCCATTTTCTTAAAAAATAAAGAAATGGAAAAAAATAAAAATTAATTCTCAAAAAGGAAAAATTAAAAAATATCCTCAGTGAAAACATTTTTGAACTCCCGTAAAGCCTTTTTAAAAAATAGAAAATTGTATCTGCCAAGTTTTTTTTTTTTCCCGTGATTCAATCACCATTGCTGACTAATATAATGCTGGTAAATACTTATTATGCTTAATAATATGAAATCATATATAGAGCAAGGGGGAACAAGAAAAGAAAAAAAGAGAGTAAGAAGATATTATTGTTTCATCAAAGAAAAATTATTATTAGAAAGGAAGGATTACAACTAAGAGAATAAGCTATACATCCAAAAGAAAAAGAAACAAACAGATGTATTAATACCAAATAGCATCCAATCCCTCTCAAGGGTGGGTAAAAAGAAGATATCATTAGGAAGAGAAAGCTCTTGAAGGAACAGTTATTTTCTAGAAACTTTTTCCTTTTTCTTTTGTGACAACTGAAAATTTGTACATAGAAGACAATCCTAATTTTCCACAACTAAGTGCAAAATAGATATCCAGTATTTGTTAGAGATAAACAACAGCCAATAGTTGGCAATGGTCATTCTTGCTTTTTCCATGCATGACACAAAGCCACAAAAAATGAAATGCCTACAAAATTAGACTGGGAAGCCTATTAAACCTTACTTTTGTTTCAATTTGCTCAAGAAGAATGTTGCAAATGGTATGTCAACAAGAATTCCTTCAAACATTGCCTACAAGAAAAGCAATATCATATCAAAACCCCACAGCAAACAAAAATAATAAGAAATATAGGCCCAGGAAACGGAAACATCCAACCATACAATTTCAAAATGCTGACGATAGTAATCAACATACATACAAGGAAAATTAACTATCCAATATGTGCATTGCAGAACAACCATAAATATGACCAATATATCTAAAATAGAAATTGATACTAATCTAGAATGATTAACTCAATATTGCCTTAATGGATTAAAAACCACAATTCTATTAATATAAAACTATTATACTATTTAGGACTCCACTATATAGTATTACTAATTTTAAGATTTTATTATTTTTAGCATTTAGTTTTACGTATGTATCAGGAGTATTATTTCTTAATTTTATTATTATTGCTATTTCTTATTTAGTTTTATATAGTAAAAATTACTTATAAGATATTATAAGCACTTTTATGATTTTACTTTTCGATATAAACTTCAGTTATTCAATAAAATATTTTGAGTTTCTCAATTTTTTGGTTATACAATGTGATCAAACTCATAAGCACATTTTTAGATTTGTTAGATTTTATGTCTAGATTTTTACCTTTAAATTCCTAAGCAAATTGCTTCTAATTTATCCTACGATAAGAGACTCTTCTCCATAGACATCTCAATCAAAAGCCTTCTGTCAACCAGTAGAAATTCCTAGAATAGGAAGCCTGCTCAAAGCATGACCACAACAAAACCACAAAATAACTTCTTCAATACGCAGTTTGAGAAAACGCATCCAAATACGGGACCAAATAGATGTGACAATTGCTTGACTGTATGAGAGGTGCAAGAAGATGAAGAGATGTGAGACCAGGTCACCAAGGCTGCTAAGAACTCGAACAAATCAGCTTATATAAAGAGATGTAGCTGAGAGGAAATGGGGACAAACAGAAGAAACAGCTCTATCTTAACTACAACAAACCCTTTGTTTACAAAGATGTATGAAAAACTTTTCTAGCTGGGGTTCGTGGAGGAACCTAGTTAAAAAAGCTCATGGCAGCCGGGAACTTCGGGAAGAGGAACACAAGATTTCATGCATGCCATCACAGGCATTGCAGCTTTCCAGCTTATTCTTGTAGACTCTGGAGCAT